CACGAGAGCATCTGTATCAATGATACAGAGTGGATTTTAACCCAATAAAAGGTAATAAAAAAATTGGGTCAGATCAAATTTGGGTTTGAATCGTTTCAGCCCGCTGAGATTATTGAAACGTCTCATGCGGACACGTGTCGGGATTTGAGTGGAACGGCGCATTTTTTTCGCCCAAACAGGCGATGAGATTTCATTTGGTCGGAAAAAAATTTCTTTCTCGATTCTTCTTCTTTGAGTGGCAATTACGGCGATAGAGATGGTGATTCGTCGTCGTCCTTCGCCGTGATCGTCCTCTTCAACGATTTGCCTCTTTTCTCCTCTTTTCTCGCTCTCTCTCACCGTCCATGAAAACCGGTGTCTCAGATCCTCTCTCAGACGACCGTTTCGTATTCTCTGAGGCGATTACGGCGATTGAGACGGCGAATCGTCGTCGTCCTTCACGGTCTCATCTTCCTCTTGCATGAGTGAGATCATTCTCGTCTTCTCTCGCTCTCTCTCACCGTCTTACAAAACCGCCGTCTCAGAGCCTCTCTCAAACTGCCGTTTGAGATCGCATGCGACCATCTCATATCCGTCTCGTGTTCCTCCTTCGTCCGCCATCTCAGATCCTTCATTTCAAAGCTGCAGTGTCAAATCCTTCCTTTCAATCGGTAAATGTTATTCTCTCTAAGCCGATCCATTGTTCTTGTTTTTTTTGTTTTGATCGATTCGTTTTCCGTGTCATGAGATCATTGTTTCATGTTTGTATTTACAAGTTTCGATTAGATTGCGGTTTGAGAGATGTTTGACATTTTCGATTCCTTTTGCATGTGTAGGTAAAGTTGTATATGGATTTGGAAGAATGATTAGCATCATTGGGCAAGAACGGTTTCAGACAATCAGCTCTGGTGAGTTCGTTCATCTGTACATTGATATGTACACTTGTTATAAATTCTATAAGACTCTAGTTTGAAGATTGTGTGAAAACCGGTTTATTGATTTGTACACTGATCTGTTTTTTATCTGTTCATATTGCTAGAAATGATTTGGTTTTATCATTGAGAGATAAGCTTGAAATGATTTGGTTTTGATCTCTTCAGATTGTGTAGATAGAGTTCAAAACTTGATAAATTCTTGCTTCAGATTGAGTTAGATAGATTGTTTGGTTCATTTGTTTTTGATTGTTCACATTGGTAGACTGTACATTGATGGTTTTTGTTCTGATTTGATGTTCATTGAGTAGTTGAGTAGCTCATTAAGTAGTTGATGGTTTTGTTCT